ACACACACACACACACACACACACACACACACACACACACACACACCACGTGTGATCCCTACCGACACTTGGCATGCTGAGGTGAGGCAGGAGGATCAAGAATTCAAGGTCGGAACTGAAGAGATAACTCAGAGGTTGAGAGCATTAACAGCTCTTCCATAGGTCCTGAGATGAATTCTCAGAAATCACTTGGTGGTTCTTCTATAATGAGATCTAGCGCCCTCTTCTGGGAGACAGGCACATATGCAGGGAGAACACTGTTCATAATAAATTAATAATGATTAAAATAACAAAAAAGAATTCAAGGTCAACCTGAGCTACAAGACATAACAACACAAACAGCACAAATGAACGAATGCACAGGCTTCATAGACCAGTAGCATCAGGGACCACTCTATTGGGGGAGTTGTGTTGATTTCTCCCTTCCATTGCTGAATCCCTAAGCCCAGTGTGTAGATCTAGTACAGGGAACCCTAGAGTCCTGAACTAGGGTTTGGAGGAGTTCCTACATGCTGTAGTGACCCACAATACTATTCAGGGATTTCTTTACAGAAATCTTATTTCTCTCCATTTCTTTTTCATTCTTTTAAAAAATATTTTTAAGTATACTGGTATTTTGTCTTCATGTATGTCTGTATGCTACATGCATGGAGTGCCCCAGGTGGCCAGAAGAGGGCGCCCTATTCCCTCTGAGACTGGAGTTACAAGTGAGTGAGAGCTGGGAACTGAACCCAGGTCCTCTGGAACAGCAGTAAGCATTCTTTACCTCTGAACAGTCTCTCCAGCTCCATAATTTTACTCGGAAGTGACGCCATCTTTATTTTTATACCTTGGCTCTCTGTGATTCTTTTCTTTGCAGCCACAGGGCCTCACTCAGGCCTGAGTCACCTAACTACCCTGCAGAGAAGGTTTGAATAAGAGAAGCTCTGGGTTCCTCAGGGTCACAGAGTCCAAGAGAAGGAGCGTCCCAATCTGTCCCCACAGTGCACAGTCTAACCAAACATGCCTTAGGTGACTCTGGAGAACCAAGCCTTCTTACCCAGGTCCCACCTGTGGCCATGTCAGCCAGCTGCCACATGTGAGAGGACAAACGCATTAAATTCAGACTCCATTTTAGAGAACTTCAACAAAGGCAAACCAACAGGCAGACACCTAGCTTTAGTTTCCAAGCTTCCTCCCCCCCAAAAACCGAGCCTACCTCCAGTCTTTAGGCTAACCCTTGACAAGACCTGTGTCTCTAGGTTATTCCCCCAACACACATGCATCCCCAGTCTAACAACCACCAATGCAGAGGGAAGTAGAAATTAAGTATATGATATGACTCCCAGCATCAGCCAATTATGTTAAGGCCATAGTAACTTCCCAATTAGATGCGTGCACAATTACTCCCCACTTGCTGCTTACCATAAAGCCTTGCCCCAAAAGATATTCAGGGCTTCTCATCACCAAAATTGTCCTGAATGCTGCGGTATCCTGGCCAGAGCTAGCTCAAATAAAAAGGCCCTACTGTGATTACATCGGATAGGCTCCTGTTTGATTTGGGAGATCGCTAACACTTCCCTGCCACTACACCTGGAAGATCCCATATTTGCACTGAGAGCTTGGGTATCATTGTCTGTGTTAGTTATTGTGGTCCTTTGAATAAGATGACCCCTATATTCTTGGTCATTTGAATACTTAATTCCAAGTTGGTGCTGTTTGGGTAAGCTTAGGAGGTGTGGCCTTGCTGGAGGAAGTATGTCACTGGGAGGCATGGTTGGAGGTGTGAGCTCTCAGCTGTTCCTGCTGCCATGCCTGGTGTTTGCTGTCATGATGTTGATGGGCTCTTAACTCTTTGGGACCCTAATCCCCAGATAAACCTTCTATAAGTTTTCTTGAACATGATGTTTTATCACAGCAAAAGAAAAGTAACCAATACAGTTCCATTTTATGTCACTGTGGCTTAATATCTGACAAGACACAGCTTATGGAGAAAGGGTTTATCCTGGTTTCTTGTAGTCCCTAATGCTAAATCCGTCCAAGTGGCGACAGGCCCTTCCTTCCTATTCCAGTGTACAGGCCACCTCAGTAAAATGTCCCACAGGAGCTGTCCAAAATGGGGGCTCCTGTTAAAATGGCAGCTCCACTATATCTCCTCAGCCTGCTGTCATCACAGGAGCTGTTCATGTTGGTGACACCTTCTGTCCTGCTTCTTCAGCCTTCAGCCTTGGTGAAACATCACAGGAGCTGTCCACAGTGGCAACAACTCTCCAGTCCCCTCTAGTCCCCAGCAGCCCCATAGAAATGGCAACTCAACAAAAGCCAGATGCACCTGGGAAGGACTTCCCACGTTAACCCATGGGCCTGATGCCAGGGAAAAGGGGGTTAAAAAAAAGTTATCAATCCCTGAGCAGAAAAATCCCATGACAGCGACATGACTCAGTCTGCCAAGGGTGTATGGGAGGAGGTAGACTTCTTTTATAAGCAATTGGACCTTTGACAGACCTCTCTCTCTCTCTCTCTCTCTCTCTCTCTCTCTCTCTCTCTCTCTC